CCCGTGGCGTTGGCACAGCCCTTGATGTTTTTGCCTTCCCGTAAACGCCCCCTTCGCCTTGGCTTCCCCAGCATAGCTGCAGCCCCAACCTCTTCGTCCAGAACGTCTTCGTGGACACGCACGACCTGCGTTTTCCCTGGGTGGCCTTCTTCGCAAGCAAGTGAGTGAGCAGCCCCCAAGTGCGTTTCCTCCTTCCCCAGTTGGGGTTTAAGGGCCTGGGGCTGTCCGAGGGCGTTTCTCCAGGAGATTCCCCAGACCTCTAAAAACAGCAGTTCTGAGCCTTCCACAGGGGAAAAAATCAACTAAATCTCCGTGTGATTTCTCCGAAGAGTTTACCAACTCTTGCTGGCTTGGAGGCATGACCTCAGAGGAAAAAGGGAGGGAGAGAGGAGGAAAAGAGCGTCCAATTCTGGTACGAAATGTCCTCACTGCCACCTTTAACAGGTCCGTGGCTTAGCAGGGTGGAAGGGCTTCTTCCTCATCAGCCAATGAGCTCACGTGCCCATTTCATGGACAGGAGAACGGACACCGAGGCACGAGTTTTCTGAAGGCATAGCCGAGAACTCTGACCCCAGCGGCGGGCTTCAGAAAACCGGAGCCAGTCCGAAGAAGGAGGAACGAAGAACCACCAAAAAAACCCTGCTAAAGCGTTGCTTAAAAATAATAAAATAACCTGCTCGATTTCCCCCCACAGGCGAATCCGGGCCGGGACAGAGCTCACCTGGGATTACAACTACGAAGTCGGAAGCGTCGAGGGCAAGAAATTGCTGTGCTGTTGTGGCGCCATTGAATGCCGAGGCCGCTTGTTGTAAAAGCAGCCTTATTCCCCATGGGGGGGAGACCTCTTTTTTCCCAAAACACCCACCCCACCGGCGAAAAGGGACTCTTACCGCCCGCCGCCACTTTCCGCCCGCGTGTCTCCTCGGACCCCTGTGGCCAACGTCTCTCCACTCCGTGCGCATCTCCTGTTGACCGCAGCAGGGGCCGTAGCGTTACCTTTGTAAAGGACTGTCTCCCCACCCACCCGCTACCGAAATTCCCTTTGGATGTTGTAAAGCAATAAATAATTACCCCGTCTTTGTTACAACACGCATTTTCTGTCCGCTCCCTCGCATAGCCTTTTGCAAACTGGGCCTCGAGTTGGGCCTCGGAGAATTTACTTGGAAAACTTGGGGCGCGGATTTTCAAAACCGGGGTGGGGTGGGGAGGATTAAGGATTAAGCCCTGCAGGTTTTCTTGCAGACACAAAACTGAAGCCCGTTGAATTTGGCCTTTCTGATGAACTTAGTGACAACCTACGAAATTTCACTGGGGAGGCGGTCTGTTGAAGGTTAACAGCCACATTACCCCCCAAGGCAGAGCTGCTCTGCGTCCGGGATAGAAGACATTGCTGCTTGTTTGGGTTAAGGAATGGAGCCTCCCTGTTGAGGAGCAGTGTACCTTCGAATAAGCTGATGCTACCCACCATCCTCTTCCCTTCCAGCAGACACCCTGAAGATTTCCCAAAGCAACGTCCTTTACCAAACACACTATGTTGCGTTCCTCTACCTCACCGTACTTTTAAAATTGCTTTTCAAAGCAACCGCAGAAGTTATTTCCATGACCTTAGAGGGGATAAAGCACTTATTTAGGGGGAAGAGACAGGAAAAACCCCATTTTTCCACCCCTCCTCCCTCCAGGAATAACGCTATAAGCACAAAGGGTATTTTTTAAAGAAGTTTATTAGTTTAATTGAAGTTTTAATATAATTAAACTTTCTTCTTAAAAAAACACACATTTTGGTCTGAAGATTGTGAATGGTCCTTTTGTATCCCTCCCCCTCCCAAATTAAACCAAAAAGAAAAAAAAAATACTGCCATTTGAGCTGATGGCCGGGTCAGAACTATCTTGACCCCTTTCGGACCAGCTCGAATCACTGATTTCCGTTGCATTCTTCCACTTTGGTAGTTGAAAGTCCTACCTAATAAATTAAATGTTAATTAAGATCTCCGGCGTTCGCGGTACCTTTACTTGGAGAGGGCAGAATGGGAAGGGGTACTTGGGGAAGAAAATGGAGTGGGGGGGATTAATTTCCCAGGAGAAGGAGAAGAGCGAACTAGCGCGCCTTGAGAACATGAGCGATTTGCAGAAAGGAGAGAGAATGAAAACCTTGCTGGCCTTTAATGCTCAAGGGTGCTGTTGACCTATTGAAGTGGCTTGCCGTAGCCAACCGCCCCCTCCGTAAAAATCCCCCCCCGGGACAGGCGTACCTGCTCTCCACGTTATATCAGTGGAGCTCTTCCGACGGACCCTCCCACCCCTAAGCCAGCCGCTTCTTCTGTTTCTTAAGCACTTCTACCATCGGCAACGACAAAAACCACGTGCAAGCGTGATCAGGCCGTGGGGAAATTGACTCGCCTGCCCGAGTTAACGTTTGGTGCAGCTAGCAATGCCGGATCCTCTCCCGCCCACCCCTGCATCCCCAAAGGGGGGGAAATCATGGCTTGTACAATACGGAGGTAATACCGAGAGAGAGACGCTGGTGGAGAAGGAAGATTTTGCAGCGCCAATCAGCGTTAAGGCAGGAGGGGGGTCTTTCCTTCTCGCCCAAGGGTGTGAGAGGAACATAAATTCCTATTTCAGCCGTGCTGGTTCTGGACACCATTCCCAGTTCCCCAAACATTGCAGCATCGAGGGGCAGAAGAACCATGAAAAAGAGAAGGTGCGCAGGACAGAAAGAGCAGACAGCTAATTCCCCAAACCCCAGGAGCTGACCAAGAAAAGTGGGAACGATTTCCACACTCATGAAAAACCAGCATTTGCCGTGGAAGAGTTGAGCCCACGTGACGTCCGGGAGAGCAAACGAAATCCGTGTTTTTTCTGGCCCACTGTGCACCACCACAGGCCTTTGGCACAGGAAGGAAGCATCAATGTGGACTGGCGACTTGGGGAAGTTTCCGTTTCTCATGCATCTCGACGGGTGCAGAACGAGGTCTGGTGGCTGCATGCGTTGCAGTGACGGGAAGCGAGGTTTTTCTCCCTTCCTGCACTTCCTCAATTTGTATTTTGGGGCTCCAGAAGCGGGGAGGAAGAATGAGACAAGTGAGAGGGAGAGGAACTGAAGTTGCATCTTGACTTCACCGATGTGGTTTTAAGGCAGTTTGGTGAGGGCTGGGGGAGCAAAAAGGAGGAGGAAGCGGGGGTCTCATGGGGGTGGGGGGGGACGACTTCCAAGGGCGAATGATTTCTTCTAGGCCAAATTGCGAGGCGTCCCTCCCAAAAGTGAAACCACGTCACCGAGGGGGGAAAAGCGGGGAGAACCCTTATCGGCCAATGACTCTAGGCAGAGGGCCCTCGTGCTGGAGATTAGAACACCTTTCCTCATCCAAAGTTTTTGGCTTGGCCAGAAAACAAAACATCCCCCAGTCTCGGATGGCGCATCTCGCAACGGGCTCGGGAGGAGCTGGGGCCAGAGAAAGACGGGCACCAGGGAGAAAAAATTCGCGCGGAGGAATCATTCCACTTTCCGATGGTTATTGTTCAAGACGGGATGCCCGTTGGTCAGAGGGCCGTTCTTGGTCCCCGTGCCGGCCGCGGCCCCCGCAGCAACTTTTTCTTCCTCCTCCTCGGAGTAATCTGTTTCATCGCGGTCACTTCTCTCGTCCTCCACTACCTGCAGGGTTTGGAAGAAGGAAGGAAAAGCGGGTCACCAACAGGCGGGGCCTTCTCGGGGGTGGCCCGGGCTCTTGCCCACCTTGCACGTTGGCCATCTGGGCCCATCTTTACCACCCCCCGGCCATCAACCATCATCCCTTCCGCACGTTGGCTCGTCCTGCCGAATTGCCCTTCGCCCGAGGTTTGTGACTCTGGCTCGGTGCTTCCCCTCGCTATTTTCTGCCACGCCGTTTCTCCGATTCTTATGTGTGTGTGTTTTATGCAATTATAAAACGGACGTTGGGAAGGGGGAGAAGACCAGCTTTTGCTGCCAAAGACCTTGCACATGTCTTTGGCAGCGTCTGCTTCTCATTTGAGAGTCACAAAAGGTGTTTTCTGATTTTTGGGCATTGTATATGACACGGCCCTCCTCCTACAGTGCTGACGTGGCCCCAAGTGTTTCGTGCTTTTTTTTAATACATAGTTCGAAGCTCTTTTAAAACCAAAAAACACCAGGGCGATTGCTTTAAGCCTGCCAGTGAACCTCGTTACAACAATTAAAATATAAAATAAAGAGTTCTGCTTTGTTTTGTTTTAAACTTTAGGAAAACTGCTCTGGAACTGAAGGTAAAAATTTCAGCTCCATTCAACGCAACCAAACTTTTTCATCTCAGCTGTCACTTTGACAAGGGTGGGAATTAAGTTTCTAGTCCTCGTGACCGCAGAAGCAGAAGGTGTTCTAGAGTGAGACCCCGATTCCTCTTAGCCATTTGCGGTTCTTTTTCAGCACAAAGGTCCTGTCCTCCGCTCGTTTTGGAGGTGGGGGGCTCCCTTCCCAAACTTTTCCTAAACTTTCACTCCCCTACGCGAGACGGAGCATGCATAAATTCAAGAACCGTCCACTTACCTTTCCAGTTATGAATTTCTGGGCCATGCGAATGATGAAGTAGGCCCAGAATAAGTGCAGACATTGGAGAATCACCATCATGAGGTTGAAGAAGTAATAGCCAAAAAAGGGGGGATAAAAATCGAGAGGATGGACTATTGTGCAGTGCAGGATCCTAGACGAGGAAGCAGAGAAATTATTAATATTTTAAAAACCCCTTTCTTTAATCTCCGCAAAGAGCATTGACAGGCAGGTTTTTAACAGGGCAAACTTCGCCAGGTTCTGCACAGCAGGTTCCAAGGGAGCATCAAAGTTGATGGAGGTTCCCATGTTGCTCAAAGCCCAAAACATGGTTTGCTTGTTTGCGGCTTAGTGTGGTTTGCAAACTGCGGTTTGTGAATCAGGTCTTTGCGCCAGCTGAGGAACGATGGGCCCATCATTTAGCGCACCCCCTGCATTTTGCTCAGTTTTTCCTCTGCCATTTTTAACAAGACTTCATATTAAAGTAAAAAAGGGGCAAAACAGTAGTTACGGATCTGTCCTGACAGATGAAGAATGGCCCAACAGGATAAAACCAAGGGAACGCATCTGCAGAAAAACCGAATCCTGAAATTGACCGGATTTGGCCGAAAGAAAACGTCTAGGTAAGAATTCAATTTTCGGCGGCTCATTCTCGGGTTCCACGTCTGATCTGCGACGTACGGCCGCTTCGTGCCATTTTACTTTTTTAATCGGCAGGCGCCCTTTTCCCCAAGGAATCCCCCGCAAATCTTACCAGAAGGGAAGAATGATTAAGCGAGTGATGATGAAGACCACAGCAAATACGATGAAAATACCATTACAAGTGTTCTTCCAGCCGGCGTAGTTAAACATTTTGGCTGACTGCAGAGCATGAAAAGAAAAGCAATTTTGACACATGACCACGTTCCATTTCTTTTAGGCAAACCGGAATTAACGGGAGACCAAATTCTACTCCTATTTTGAAAATAGATGTAAGGGGATCCTTGTGGCTCCATCCAAAACGCGTCCTCTCACCTCCCAGATTTTTGGACTACAAGCCCCATCGCTCCCCAGCCAGCATATTTACAGTCTTCCACCCTGCGGCAAACTCTCCCCTTCAATAAGAAAGAAAGCTCATGAAGATGAAACGCGCACAAATCCGGCCCCTGAATATCCTACGCTAGATCCAGGGGTCCAAGCAGCTGTCTGGACAAACTGGAATAGGTGTGTTTAAGAACACTTGAGGCTTGTTTGCGAAACGAATGGATAGATTAAGAAGTTAAAATCTGGAAAAGAAGAAAGGAAGATGACGGGAAGGAAAAGAAATAGAGAAAGGAAAGGAGGAAGGGAAAGAGGAGGAGGAGGAGGAGGAGGAGGAGCATTTGATGCAAAACGGAGCTGCAAGATGGGTTAGCCCAGATCCTGGCCTGATCTCTCACCTCCAGCAGATAGTCAGACGAGTCGTGCAGAGCCATGATAAGGGTCCCTGCCCGGATGTAATTGGTGAACCAGGAGAAACTCATCAAGATGATCGTAGCGACGTGATGGATCACCTGCTCTTTGAAATCCTGTCCACAGACGGAAGGAAGGAGAGAGATGGAAGCGGAAGGGAAGACCCCCATCAGAGCTGGGCCCTGGAAGGGAGGGCGATATGGGGGGATTCCCCTCTCCCTTCGCCTAGCAAGGAAGCAGCACCGAGGCTCGGAAGCCGGCCCCGTGGCTTTGGGGGACGTTGGGAGAGCTGGCGTGGCTCCGCTCGATCCCGGCGCGGATTCGCTGCGGTCCCACGGTTGGGGATCCGCCAAGGGAGCCTTCTGAGGCTCGTCCGGAGGGGCAGCAGGACCACCCAGAGAAAAGTTGGGCTTTTTGCCCCAAAACCCGGCGGGGGGGCCGGGCAGCTCTCCCCCCACGCCTCCTCCAGCTAACCTGCCTTGCGCTTCCGTTCCGATCCCCGAAGGACGGACGCCTCGCCAGAGCCCGTGCTGAGCGCAAACCTCTCCAGGAAACCGTTTCTTCCCCCAGGAGGAATCCGCGGAGCACAGCTCCAGCCCGGGACCCCCACTCGTCCCTCCCCCAAGCTAGGGACCTCCTGGAGGCCCGCCTCTCTCGTTCAGTCCGGAAAATGCATTTTTCTCCCTGCAAATCCACAATGCCCCCTGCACCACCCGGGCGAGCTCACCTTCCGTTTCACATCCGAGGCGATGCTGAACAAGAGCGACCAGTAAAACGACAGCTCGGTGATGTAATACCAGTACTGCGAAGGCAGCAAGGCCTGCGGGGGGGGGGGGGGAAGCCAGATTAGAACAGCGAGCCCAGCCAGAAAGTGCATTTACAAGCCCTGCTTTTTTTCCTTTTTCTCAAATCCAGCTGGGAACCGTGCGCGTATTTATTCTGAGCGCTGAGGATTATCTGTAAATGCAGATAGATACAGCTTGCCTCAGCCGCAAATTCACCCGTTTCGGTTTTTTTTTCCAGGCCTTTACTGAACCTCCACACTGCAAGACGGAATAAAGTCACGCCTGGTTCAGGCTGGGCTCCCCCTTCACAAGAAGCCATGGTTTGTTTCAACCTTGATCTGCCAAAGAAGCAACTACTGGCTTTAGAGCCAAACCCTAAACCGCAGCCCAGTTTCCACGGCTAACCGGGTTATGCCCTAGCATGTTGTGTCAACCCAGGAACGCAGCAAGAGCTGACCGCCAAGCCTCCCTCGCAGGGTTGTTGTGAAGACAGAAAGGGCGGAAGGGCCAAGTGAGCGATGCCTGCTGCCAGGGACCCAAATTCTGAGGCCAGACAGTTTTCGAGAGCCTCCATCTGTCCGTCACACCTTGAAACCGCTTTGAAATCCAGGCGGAGAATCATTGCAACATGGGAAATGATTCCTAAATCAGAGGAGACGGGCGGGGGGACCTACCTGGGTTGGCCCCAGGAGGCTAGACCAAAATAATGTGTGCTTGAACACTCTGGGGGGAGCCCAATCCCCCCCTTTTGGCCTCGGGTGCAAAATCCTCCCGTGGATTGGACGGGGCACCAAAGGTTGGAAGAACAATTTAGCCACGTCGCTCTCTCTGATTTGGGTTTGTCTGTTCATTAAAAAAAATGCATGCCACATTTTAGAAGACGTTCTAGCTGGAAAGGCGCTCACCTGAATGGGGTAGCCGACCCAAACTTCCCGAAGGTTGTAAAACCAAGGTTTCTGCAAAACCCGCCCCAAAGAGACAAGCCGTTAGAAGGAAGAAACTAGGCCAGATCAGGGTTATCGAGAGGGTGATCGATTGTGAAAAATGTGGGTCTTTCGGAGAGGAAGAAACTGTACTCACGTCAACTATCACAGCCATGCCAGCAATGAAAGCAATAAGGTAAAACGTGAATCTCCAACTGAAAAAAGGAAGCACAAAGTGTGTCGGTTGTGTTTTTTCCCTCTCTCTCTGAGCAGATAAAAAAAAAATGCCCCACGCACGTCAAGACTGCCCCCAGCCATGTGCAGAGCGCGTCTCTCGGCCCGTTTGGGGCGTCAGTCTGCTCCACGCGCGTATCACCGTCTTACCTGTTCCAAATCAATCAAAAGCTGAGCTATCATTTGGCAGCGGTGGTCGAATTCTTATTTTATCATCAGCCCTTGGCAGAATTGTCAAATTATTTACCAAAAAAAAAATACCGGCGTGCAAAGTCCTAGATGGCCACCCAGGACCCCAATTTCCTGCGTTTTCCCTCCTTCCCACAGCCGGCCTTTTAGCATCCTTGCGGACTCCACCCCATTTCATCCTCTTTTCCCCCTTTTTGCAAACTCTGACCTCCTCGATACCTCCCCTCCCCGGGCAGCATCATTTCCCCTACAGATTACGAGCATTTCAGATTT